TTACAGTAAAATACAAATGATGGTCCTTCTCGGTGGTGGGGACCCGGCCACAGGGTGAGAGGCTTTGTTCTCTGTCTAAATAGTCTTTAAGGCAGAATAAAAAAAATTAATTAAAAAAAAATAAAGTCAGGCAGGATAGTATATACCCAAGAGAGCTGAAAGCAGGGACTCAAAATAGGTATTTGTTTGAAGAAAAAAAAAAAAAAAACACTATTATAAGCAAAGACAAAAGACAAACGGGAAATGTTTGCAATTCATACTACGGACAAGGGGCTAATCTCTTCCATACAGAACAGAGTTCCTGAAAATCTGTAAGATACAATCAGTTATGAACACACGGCTCATAGAAAAAAATACAAATGGTTCTTGAATACATAAAAGTGTTCTATCTCATAAGAAAAGAAACACAAATTAAAATAGTAAATTAATGCAACTTACCTATCAGATTCACCCAGGAAGGTTTATGACAAAGTATTTGGGTAAAAAAGCAGTGTGTGGGGGGAGAAATTATACAAATATAAACACCACATACATTTCCATCAGACATACCACATTCTCTGACCACAGTGCAATAAAACTATAACCATCACATAGAATAGTTAAAAAACAAAAACCTAGCCTCTTGGAAGTTTAAAAACACTCTCCCATACCATTCTTGAGCTAAAGAAGAAATAAGTGATATTATTTAAAAATAATTTGTCGATACTGTATTATAAAATATTATGCAGCCATTAAAAAGGGTGAAGGAGAGGGGCACCTGGGTGACTCAGTCGGTTAAGCGTCTGACTCTTGATTGCAGCTCAGGTCATGATCTCAGGGTCTTGAGATCAGGCTCTGTGCTCAGCGAGGAGTCCGCTTGAGATTCTTTCTCTCCCTCTGCCCCTCCCCCACTCCACCCTCTCTTAAACAAACAAACAAAAAGGGTGAAGGAGAACAGTATATACAGAGGACATCTCCAGAGTGTGCTGTTAGTTAGGTGAAAAAGCAGGCTGTGTGTGGATTAACACGTCTACACCAGCATCCCCTAGGGCAGGAGGGTCTGACTGAGCAAAGACACGTACCCTCTCATCTATTGCTTTACGCCTTTGCAACTCAGAAGACAAGAATGTGATTTCTTAATTTCTGTGTTCTGGCCCAGTGCCATCCTTTACCTGGGGCGACAAGAGTAAATGTCCAGCTGATCAAATTGAGGGCAGGGCAGGAGTAACAAGGAACAAGAGAAAAAGTTCTGCCTAACAGTATTATCCTGTCAAACACATACATTTATACAACGCATAAATACAAGTCTCAAAGTAATGACACCGAACTGCTCATTTTGGTTACCGAAAGTTAAAGAAGTGGGATGTAGGGCAGGGATATGGAGGAGAAGCTTTCCATTTTTACTCTTAAGTATTTGTGTTCTTTGAAATTTGGGGCAGTGAGCACATTTCCATATATTATCATGGAACAGCTTTATTGGGATATCATTTACATGCCATAAAGTTTACCCATTTTAAGTGTGCAATTCAGGGATCTTTAGTAGGTTTGCTAAATTTAAGAGTTGTACAACCACCACCAAAGTGGCGACACAAAGCCAGCTTGGAACTCTGATGGGAGACACCTGGAGCCTCAAGGCCAAGTTCAGTAGCTTCCCACTGAACCTCCCTACGACACCATGAAGGAGCCAAGTCCCTGGGTTACTGCTCTGATAGGACTTGATTCCCTGCTTTCATGAGAGATCCGAGCACTGTTTCCAGAAGACTCCCTATTCTGTCTATGCTGGCAGCCGTGAGGTTCTTGGGACTGCGATGGATTTGCTAATACCCTTCGCGCGCACACCACTGAGACACATGGATCCAGAGGCTGGACAAAACCTCTAGGGAACAGACAGTTATGAAATCCCCAACCTCAAGGGTAACAAGACTTTTCTATAAAGACCTCTCCTCCAAACACGCATGTTGGAGCAACGGATCCTTTTCACCTGTTTCTAACCCCTTTCTATGCCTCCACCTGCCCATCTACCCTCTCACTAACAAACCTCTCCCAGGTAGAGGACACCCCATTCAGCTGGTCAGAGCTCAGGACATCCATTGGACTACATTTTTTCTCCCCCACTGGGTGAGTTCCTATGCCTCGAGATGAACATGTTCTTCTTGTTCTTTCTCCTGCCACAAAGTCCTTCCCTTGCCTTCTCTACCAGCAACTAGGAAGGTAAGTTAGTGTGGGGCTGTCTCTTTCAACTTAGCTCTTTTACGTTCGTGGAGTAAGTTGTTGGTCTAAGCTGGGTTGTCCCACTCGGGTCTTGTCTAAGAGCCCGTTGTTGGGAGGTAGCAGATACGTGCCCGTTTGATGGATGTTACTCATAATATCCTTGGATGAGAATCCAGTCCAAACCTCCCCACCCTCATGGCGTGATATGTGCTCAAGAGAAGCAGGGGAAGGAGTTTAAGCAGGGGCTCATGGGAACGTGTCTGTCTTACCCAGAGACCCCGGAGCTACCCAGGTCGGCCTGCCTCGGCTGTCTGACAGACAATTTCAGTAGCTCTGTATTCTGCTGGTGGAGAATCCAACACACACGCTCTTTAGCCAACTGTCCTCCGTATCAGGCACTCGGCTGGTCTCTGTGCCACTCACTTTGTAGCAGGAAAGACAGCTTGGGGGGACACCGATGCAAAAAGGTGAAATCTCATGCGGAGGTGGGGGTCCTGAAATCGGCGGTTACCTCGAGCCCTCCCACCTCTGTTCCCTCCTTGGATGGTGCTTTTACAGCTTTCTACTTTCTGGCATTTCTTTATCAAAGAATAGGTGTATCTTGTGATGTTTTCCGGATCAGATGGGGCCATCGATAGTGTGCATTGTGATTGAAAGCTCTTTCAGTCCTGGGAGGAGATCGTCGATGACAAATGTCTCTCGAGTGACAAGTGCATTTTCAGGTTTTCTTGAGTCTGAGAAGCTTGACACTGCTTCAGCCAATATAGTAGAGAGGAAGTGACATTCTGTGACTTCTGAAACCAGATCACAAAAAGGGGTGTTGGCTGGAAGCCTCACGCTGGAGCTCTGATCTGTCTTGTGAGAAATCGGACTGCTCTAAGGCAAGGGTGTGTGTTGGCGCCCCAGGTGACGTCACAGCCGAGCTCTCAGCTGAAAGCCATCCACTGCCCATCATGTGAGCACGCCATTTTGGATGCCCAGCCTACCCACCTTCAGACGACAGCAGCATGAGCCGTCACGGACTGTGACCACCTGAGAGACGCCAAGGGAGAACTGCTCAGCAGAGCCTTTCCCAAGTTTCTAATCTACAAATTCTTGAGCAAAATAAAGTGGGTATTGATTTACACAACGAAGTTCTTGGGTAAATTGTCATAGTAATCGTGACAATAATTGAAAGTTACGGTCTGGAAGTTGAATGGAAGGGGGATGGAAGAAGACAGAGCTGTATCAGGCATTCCTGAACTAGTTTTAAATCAGAAATCACCTGCGGGTCTGTAAGGTCTCTGACTCTCTAAGTTTTAAGTGGGCCCAACAAGCTCTATTTTTAAAATAATCTCCCACAGTACAAAATGATGTAAATCCCATCCCCCCACCTGGGGAGTCTCTCCCATCTCTTGATCAGTTTTCCTGCCTATTTCTGCATAAGTACTTCTCCAGGTGAAATCAGGATGATTTTGCCATGTTCCTCACAAATCCTGTTGGGTGTTTTGAGATCACATGAAATGGAGATTAATTTATGGAGAAATAATAGCTTTTCAGTATTAAGTCTGTTTATCTGAGAGCATAGTATATCCTTTGCTTTTTTTTACATGTTCTTTTTTTTTAAGATTTTATTTATTTATTTACTTGAGAGATAGAAAGAGCACTAGAGAGAGCAAGCACAAGTGGGGGGCAGAGGGAGAAGCAGACCCCCAGCTGAGCAGGAAGCCTGATGCAGGGCTCCATCTCAGGGTCCTAGGATCATGACCTGAGCCGAACGCAGACAACCAACCGAGCCACCCAGGAACCACTTTACGTGTTCTATGTCCCTTGGTAGCGCTTTACCATGTCCATCATATGGGTCTTGCCTATCTCTGGTAAAGTTTATTGTAGACTTTTCATTTGTAAATTATATTGTAAATGGGATCTACTACTTCTGTTTTATTTTTAATTGATATATTTACCTAAGAAGGCTATTGATTTTTTTGTATTAATGTTACAATCAAGTACTTACTGAATTCTCTTGTTTCTGATGGTCTTTTAGTTGGTTCTCTTCTCTTTTTCTGACACGTATCATCTGCAAACAATTTGGCTTCCCAACTTTCCAAATCCTATACCTCATTTTTTTCAAGTGCTAATCACATTGGCTAGTGTTCCCAGGTTAAGTAACAGTGATGCAGTGGGAATGCATGTTTACTAATATGTTTTCGATTTACAATTTGGGAAATTCGTACCAATGGAATTTGATACAAGCAATCCACAGATCAGCACTGGGGGACCACTGACTTACATCCATTATTTTTTCAATCTGGCCTTGAAAAATATTGCTAATTTTCATGATCCTGATGGAATATGAAGCCAGTAAAATTTCCTAAGATTCTGTGTGAGCCAGGCAGGGCCCCTTTGTTATCAATAGGGCGGGGTGTCCCAGTGTGGGTAACGCCTTATATATTCTCCTACTATAGCCCTAATCACTTCCTGCTTAGGCTGTTTGATTGACTTCTCCCACCAAGGAGCCATCCTTGTCACGCCATCCTGTGCTTGGCCCAAAGTAGATCAGATGGAGGACGCTCTCCATCTCTTATTGTTCAATTCTTTCTTCCCATGGGAGGCTCTTCCTGGAGAAACCAGGTTCTTAGAGATGCAGGTCAGCCTGCTCCTATCACTGTCCTTGGGTGGAGTTCAGGGTGCAAAAATGGGCCCACCAGTCTACCATCTTAACGTCGCAGTCACGAAGTGCACAGGATTATCAAACGCCCCAGACCTTCTTTCGTTCCCTTCCGAGTCATCACAGCAGTGCGGTTTTCAAGGAAAGGATAAACCAGGCCAGACATGGTTGAAAATGTATTTATTTTTCTTCAAATGATCTTTTTCAAGCAATAAATAAAAAGACACGTCAACTCTTCTAAAAAACGAAACCAAACAAAAAAAAATCCCCTAAACTATATACATCCTACCGAAATACAAGCATATCAAATGTAGAAATGACATCACTCTGAAAGATGGGGCTATTTACAAAAGTTACAAGTATTGCATTGCTCTGTCTTGAAGAAGCCTCTTCCTCATATGACTCATAAGCTCTAAGGACGGGCAGGGTGCTCCTGGGGGACAGCGGTATCTCAAGAGGTGAAACTCCCCATTCTTTTCCTTGCTAGACAAGGGACATTCAAGGAAAAACCTCAACATCCAGACACTGTATTCAGGTCCCTAACAATGCTCCGCAGATCAGCTGCCCTTCAGGGGGCATGAAAGGTGCCCCATTCAGGAGGTCGCATGCTCCTTGAGCTCCTGAGAGAAACCATCTTGTCCCTCCGCCAGGCTGGGACTGGCAGCAGGAACCTGCCAAGCCAGTGACAAACCCCTGGCTGTGGTTTCTGAGAGACCAGCTAGTTCTGTGTCGTTAAGACCCACCTCCAGCGGCACCTTGCTCTCGGGAAAGCAAGGTGGTTTTCCCCACCTTGGCCGCACTCGGAAAGCACCTGGGGAGATTTGAAACATACGGACGCCGGGGTTCCAGCTCCGGAGATCCTGGTTTCATTGCTCTGGGACAGCCTGGTAGCAAGGTTTTCAAAACTCCCCAGTTGATGCCAATGGACAGCCAAGGTGTACCCCTGCTTTAATACTACGGACGCGGCGGCCAGGTCCCAACCGAATCAACCACCTACCGCCTTTCTGCCCACTTTCCCACAGATTTTTTAAATTTCTCTCATGGCTTCCCAACCTTGTTGAAAACTCTGGAATCCAGCTGGAATGAGCACCTGAGCAAAACGGCGTCAGGAGGCAATGACCAAAGCTTCGAGCGCCCAGGCACCATTCACAGACGCTTCAGTCTAATACTTCTCCATGGGCAAGTCAAGTCTATTACCCTTAGTGCTCCACAGACATCCTTGGGTCACACAAGATTCCAGGAGGGAGCTGACCTCATCCCTTGGTCTCTAGAGAAGATCCAAGGTAGCCAACAGCACCGTTGATAGGATCAGTGAAAGTGGCAATGTTTTCTGGCCATTTCCGAAATTTTGCATCACCAGAAATCACTTCATGGGAGAGATGCCAACTGAAATCCACCTGGCCATTTGGGCTGACCCTGTGGTGGTGTCTTCATTACAGTTACTTCGAGTCATCAAAGAGACTTCCTGATGACAGAATTATGACCAGAAAAAAAAAAAAAATCCCCTTGTCCGATCTAGCCAATTTCCTATTTTATCTCTGAGAGTTCTGAGACTCAGGCTGTTATCAAGTACAAAGAAAATGGCTTTATAAATAGCAGTTTGACACGGTGACAGAAGACTTGAATTGGAAAGCGGGGGAAAGACATGTCTGGGGCTGGTCCTGAGCTCCGACTGTCCGTGTGGTTGGAATCCAGTCTGGGAAAGCACGACACACAGGTTTTGGCAAATGTACACTTGTTCTATAGAAAGTGAGTCGGTTCCAGGTTGCCTGCCCTCCCCCTGCCGCAGGCTCGCCCGCTCACCAGGTCTATCCGCTCTTGCAACCCATAGCTCTCGTAGCTGCAGAGCTCACTGGACCTCACTAATCACAAAACACAGAGCAACTTCCAGGAATCAAGGAAAAAGTAGGAACGGCCAACTGTGCCATCTCTAAATAGGTCCATTGTCCAGGAACCCCAACCCCTCACCTCACCCCTACCTATTCAGCCAAGCAGCTCCCGGGGACGGAGGGAGCCTCTGGCTTTTCTAAAAACAGGAAGCGGGAACTCTGGCCTCACCCAAAGACAGGGCTTGACAAAGGCAGGATGAGTGATGCCAACACAGGTTCATGTTTGTGGAAGGAAACGTAATGAACCTGGTCCTGTCTGGGATGCCAGGATGAGAAAGAGCATTCCAACGCTATTCTGACATTGAGGCTTGAAGTTATTCAGGGATGAGCAAGAATGTTCATTTAGATCTAGACTCACAAGGGGCTAAAAAAACCCAAAAAAACCCAAAAAACCCAAAAAACAAACATGCTCTCATCTCGTCTAAGACAAGTTTGCAAATACTTCTGACACTCTGTAACACTGTTCCACTCTACTACAGATGAAGTAACATGTAGCTTCCCTCTTCCCTCCCCCCCAAGCCCAACCCGCAGAAAACATCCGTCTCCCTCCGGAAGCCTTAGCTCCCTTTGGAAAGGCCCCTTAAAAGGGCATTATCCCAAGAGAGAATTCCACAACGGCGCCTGCGTGCCCACGGTGCCCAGGATAGAAGCCCAACAGCCGGCTCCCAAGCAAAGGGTCTAGCCAGCTCCTTACACCCTCTTCCATTCTAGACCTGAAACACGGTGTTCACTCCCCTCTTACTCAAATAAGGGCCTTTAAAAATATTCACCTAACCCAGGAGTTTTAAGAAGGCAAGAACTTGCTGTACTTCCCTCTAAGCAAACCTGGTAACACGAAAAACGCCGATTTATGCAGAAGAGAAAAAAGGTGGTGCTTCCAATCACCAGAGGATGCACGTCAGGTCCATCTCTAGTTAGCTGCTTGCCCCAAGGGCCTCGCTCCACGATTCACTGTAGGACAATCTTAGTTGCACCCCATTTCCCAGGAGCACCTTTTACGACAGGGCATTTATCACAGATGATAAACAAGTCTTCCGGAAGGGCTGTGAGAAAAGGCTCCCACCGCCAAACTGAATTACTGATCCTGAGAAAAGGCTCTATCATGGAGACCTAGAGCCGCTTTCGTGTTCCCTGTACCTGAGAAAAGGCTCTATCATGGAGACCTAGAGCCGCTTTCGTGTTCCCTGTACCCAGGAACCAGCTTCAAAAGGAATCAGAAAGCAGGCCTTCCCTTCTTCCTCCTGCCACCCCACGCTGCCTGCTTCTCAGTGACAACCAGTGCCCACGGACCCTCAGGCTACCTGCTCCAGACCTGGGACACACGGTCCAGTTCCTAACCGCCTTGACGTTGGCGAGCCATCAGGCTCCGAGGCGGGGCATCGACGGAAATATATCCTAAATTCACCGTCACTAGGCTCCTTGCACTTACATCCTCTGAGGAAATTCTTAATAAATACTTTTATTTATTATTAAGCATCATTATCCACCTGTTGGTGATTTCGAAAGGAAAACCAGGTCCTGTAAGATTTCTTAAAAAAACAAAACCAAAACCTGTTCCAAGAACAAAGAAGAAGGAAGCACACAGAACCAGGCACTTCTGGCAAACTTGTTTTTTCTTTTTGTCCCTTTCTCACCCCCGCACCCCACCCCCGCACCCCTTAATAAAACTGGGTGGGCACATTTGCCAGGATCTGTGGGTTTCATAACTTCAAGCCTTACTGCTTAAAAAAATGAGGTAAGAAATTCCTATCTGAAAAGTAACACGGACACACAAACCAAACCGAGGTCTTCCCTGCCCGCGGAGGCAGCCGTTATTGCTCTAGGTTGGAGTGTTTTGTTTGTCTGCTTGAAAGGTGTTTTCGAAGTCCTTATTGCCATCCTAGCTGGCCCCGGAGGAGGGGATTTGGGGGGCGGGTGGGGGGAGTGCCTGGTCGCCGGGCCCTGGCGCGGTCAGTCCCTGCGGGCGCTGCGCACCCCGCGAGCCCCGCAGAGCCCCGCAGAGCCCCGCGGGGAGCCGGCGGCCGGGCTCGGGCTCGGGTCAGGGCTCCCCGCGGCCCTAGCAGCTCGGGGAGGTGGTGATGGGGCTGTGCAGGTACGGAAGGCTGCTGGGGGCCGCGTGCACGCCCACCGACACCGGGAAGCTGAAGACAAACTGCGACGTGGGGGTGGGGGTGGCCTTGCCCCGCTCCCGCAGGGGCCCGGAGGGGCTGGCGGCCTCCACGGCGCAGGACGTGGCCAGCACCTGCGACTCGAACTGCAGCAGCTGCCCCATGAAGCTGAAGTTGGGCGAGATGATGCTCCGCCGCTGCTTGACGAACTCAAAGGCCTCCTCCAGCCTCACGCGCTTCTTCATCATCAGGTAGGCCAGGCAGATGGTGGCCGAGCGCGAGATGCCCGCCTGGCAGTGAACCAGCACCCGGCCGCGGCGGTCCTTCACCGCATCTGGGGCAGAGAGCGCGCCGCGGTTAGTGCCCTGCGCGCCCCCGCCCCCCGGGGGTGGCCCGGCGGCAGGTGTGGACAATGGGGGCGGCGGGAGGGCGCCTGAGGGGTGTTGGAGGAGGGGCACTCCCATTCCTAGTGAGGAGGGGGCGGGGAGAAGCCCACCGCAAGGGACTCTAGCGTTCCACCCCTTCCGGGCTATTTTTGAGACTTCACCGAGCAAATGCACTGAGCTTGCGAAAAACCCGGGTTCAAGCCGGTTAAATCCCAACATACCTCCAAGGATTTCCATTTGCAGAAACAAAAACAGTGACCCCACTTCTCCCTTGATTTGTCTTCCTCCCCATCCCCAAAGCCCTATCATCTGGACGTCTGGAGCCGGGCAAGGAAAACGGTATTGGCTGGGTAGGCTGACGGCTCGGGAGCGGGAGCCGATCTCCCTATCCCCCCTGCAACACGACATCCAGGCGGCCAGCCTCCCTTAGAGGCGTACACCCTGGACGCAGTGCGCCCCAAGCCCCTCCTCCAGCGGGCGAGGACTCGGGGTTCCCTGCCGTCCTCCCGCCCTGGCCGGCGTCCACCGCAGCGCCAACCTACCGATGTACTCGATGGCCTCCATGAACCAGGAGCTGATGTCCGCCTTGTGGTTGTCTTCCACCGGGATGCACTTGTACTGATAATGTCCTTCAAAGTGGTTCGGGCAGTCAGAGGAGACATTCAGCAGGGCCGAGATCCCCAGGGCATCCAGCATGTCTCTCCGGGCAGCGTGGTACGCACTGCCGAGGTAGAGGAAGGGAAGGATCTCCACGGGACCCCCCTGCGCCAGAAAGGGAAAGCAAAGGCCCCCGGACATGGTGAGTGTAAGGCACCCAGGAAAAGGGCTGGGATGCTCCGGACGGGGAGAGGGAACCTGCCCGAGGTGGGCTTTCACAAGCCCTGGGGAGAACGCCTGGGGACACAGCCCTCCCAGCTTTCCCCTGCACCTGCTGGGGCTCCCAGCGAATGACAGGCCCAGGGGGCTTCTCTGGCCTTTCCACTCGGTTCTGCTGTGAGCAGAGAAGCGGGGCCGGTAAAGCCTGGTGGGCCCCCCCGCCGATTCAAGCAGCCCGCCTCCGCCCTGAGCGTGAAGAGGCAGACGCCATGCTGGCCTTGCCACACCATCTGCGACATTCATCTACACCTAGCTGGCATGTGGTCAGGTGGCAACTAAAAACGGGTGTTATGTCAGCCTCACAGGCTAGAGGAGGCGCCTTGGCAATATGAGGTAACGTCGGCTTAATTCGTGACATTTTCTGAGTCACATCAATTCAAAATGATCTGGGATCTGGGAGCAGAGTTGCTGGACCCCATAAATTCACCCCATCTAATGAAAGAGCGAGAGTCGCCTCGTAAGGAATATAGCAGCTTAAGCTGGTTTTCTTAGCGGAGGGCTGGCCGACCATTTATGTCCACTTGGCATTTACACTGGGTTGTGCACGGAGGGGGTGGCCTCAGGTCCCTGGGCCGCGCCTTCAAAGAGGGGTGCTCTCTCAGCTTTCTACGTGGCCTGTCACACACTTCTGATTTCAGCAATCCTCGCCTGCCCGCACGTAACTTCAGAGGCTAAGTCGGAAAGGTACGTCTTTGTATTTTTCCGAGTGAGGCTAATAAGAGGGAAGGGGGAGGGCGCCTGGGTGGCTCAGTTGGTTGAGCGACTGCCTTCGGCTCAGGTCATGATCCTGGAGTCCCGGGATCGAGTCCCGCATCGGGCTCCCTGCTCGGCGGGGAGCCTGCTTCTCCCTCTGACCCTCCCCCCTCTCATGTGCTCTCTCTCTCATTCTCTCTCTCTCAAATAAATAAATAAAATCTTAAAAAAAAAAAAAAAGAGGGAAGGGGGAAGAATCCCAAGGATCAAATGGACCCTCCCCAACACCCCACCCCAATACTCAGGGTTCACTACATTCTCCCCAAACTGAGGGACTCTGTCCCAAACCCCTGAAAAGCAGAAACCTGAAAATAAGCCCCCTTGCCCCCACGTTGCCGCTTCCTCCCGGGCTCTGGGCCCCGAGTCTACCTGGTCGTGCAGTGGGGTTCCACAGGAGCTGCAGTTCACGTCCAAGGATTCGGCAGCGCTGAGGGGCACAGCCGGTGGGAGGGCTGCCAGGGCCTTGGTTTTGGAACAGAATTCTGGGTACTCGGAGGAAAACCTCTCATAGCCACCTGTAAAAGAGAAATATGGTCAGGTTAATAGGGTCACTAAGCCAGCAGGAAACCAGAAAGTACTTGAGTCCTACCCCTAGACTGAGGAGAATGGCTGCGAAGCTGGGGCTGGCTGGATCTACACTGGCCACCGGGTGGCGCTGTGGGCCCAGAGATAATGGCTGTGGAGCGCGCCTCATTTGGCAGGGACTTCATCCTGAAGGCTGGAAGGAAAGTTTTAGGAACGAGACAGGTTCGGGATGCAGATACAGAAAGGAGGACGTGCAGGGGGTATGCCGAAGAGACCTTCCCCATCAGCTCCTGAGGGTGATGATAAAGCATGGAAGACAGGATGGCCACTGGGGGTTCCCACAAGTAGGGAGGCAGCCTGGTGCCGGGCCCTGGGACCTACCAAGATGTCCGTCATCCCCCAACTCCAGCCCTTCCTTTGGAGAGGTTCTCGAATGTGGGAGAGAAGGAAAAAAAAAATTACCCTGGCACCAGCCCTTCTGGATCTCAGCAACAGAACAGATGCCAATCGCCCGGCCTCCCGAACAGCTGTTCCATCAACAAGGGGCCAAAATAAGAGGAAACGGGCTTAAATACAAATCCCTCTTGCTACATACAGGTTTGGGGCAAGGCAGGATTTCCTGCCCTGAGAGTTGCTAGGCTCTGGAATGGTTATCTGTGGGATCGTCTTCCGGGGAAGGGAGGTCTTTTAAGTAAAAAGAGATAAAGGGCCAACTTCTCTGGAACAGTGTTAGTGCTGAGCAGAAAGGTGCCGGCTGGCTGGGGGTGGGCAGAGATGTAGGCAGAGGGGCAGGGGGACAACCAGGAGGACAGAGACGCCTGGCCAGTATCTGATTCACTCGGAAGCGCCGGGACTTGGCTTGGCGAGTAACTCAGCATCTACTATCCACGTGTGGCCATGCCTGTATTTTTATTTTGCAGTTTCTGTAGGACCCACATAAATAGGATCATAAATTAATTCAGGAGAGGCTGCAGGTTGCCGAACAACCACTCTAACGGACCCGTTCACCCAACGGTCACGTCGGTGGCTGGCACAGCTAAGTGTCTGTGTGTAAGCGGTGTGGGGCCAATGTGCCCTGGGACCATTCGTGGGAACCTTCCAACATGCAGACATGCGCCAGTGAGTCAATGACTTGCCCGAATGCCACTCCCCTGCCCCTAGAAAATACTGCTTTGCAGAGGAAGGGAAATGATTCTTCGCCGCATCAGGAGGCTTACAGAAACACAGTATACGGTTTTTCCTCTGAGCCCCCCCCCCCTTTGTGTTCCCCTCCATTGCCTCCCTTGGGATAGAACTGGCTATCTCCCTGCTCACCGGCCTTGTTCCTGCTGAGTCACAACCACCAGCCTCCCCGGAAGGAAAAACCCGCTTGAGGGGCCAGGACTGGCAGTTCCAGGCGCGTTGGTGGCCTTCGCGTAGTCATCTCGGCACAGGGGCACCCCTGCTGCCCATTAGCACCCCTTTTTCCCGATGAGGCTACAAACATGGCTGTCCCAAATGCAGTGAAGAGAGGATGGGGGAAGAGCCAGCCAATGTCTTTAGCCGCGGCCCCTAAGACAGGACTCGGGGCAACTTCCCTCACTGTTCCCCCTTGGATGGGGGAAAGGGAAACGGATCAGTCAACAAACCGTTGGTGAACACCAACTATAGGATTTGAAGATTTTTAAGTTAACTCATCTCTGTGTTTATATTCCAAAATTGGAGCTATTCATATACATCTTTTTTTTTTTTTTTTTTTTCACAGAAATGTAAGGCCTGGGCGGTGCCCTCCATAAGTGCATCACCGAGACAGGCAGACTAGCAGTGCCCACCGGCCAGGGGCTGGGGGTGGGGGGTAGGGGCTAGGGGGGGAGTCCTGGGGGGGCCAGGGCCAGGCGGCAAGGTCACAGAGGAGGAGCGCCCCCCCCAGCAGCGGAAGTGGGAGGGGCCTCAGAGTGATTGACACCGTGTTCTTCCCATAGCTGAGAAGGCACGCGGCAGGGAACCAGACGGTCGCGCCTTCAGACTCCTACCCAGGAAAATCATCAGCTGTGCGGCCTAGGGCTGTCATGGACCCTCTCTGAGCCTCTCCCTCATCTGTAAAATGCGATGAACCGTCGAGGCCCGGCGGCGTCCTTCGAGGCCCCGCTTGGAAGAGCCAATGCTCTGCACCTGGCCCCGGAGAGACATATAATGAAGGCTTCCTCTTGTGGCACCTACAAGGGGACCCAGCATTACTGGCAACTTCCTAGGCTTTGAACAGCCTTCTCCTCCCGGGCTTTACTGATTTTTTTCCACTCACGGTCCTGAGATCTGGTCGTGGGACAGTAGAAGGGCAGGCATTGCCCTGAGCTCCAGGACCTTTCCCCCTCGGGGACATTCGCTGCCTCAGGGTGGATCCTCAGCCAACCCCACAGGCAGAGAGCAGAGCAGCAAGCACAGAGGGCTCCGGGGGCCGTGGTGGGCAGGGGGCAGGCGGCCAACTGGGCAGGACAGAGGTGACCCAGGGCCAGACCAGGCTTGAGGGGGGCCATTTGTCATGCCCCCCCTAAAGCCCCCAGACCTCTCCTAACAGGGCAGAGAGGGTGGGAGGAAACAGCATTAGAATGGAACAGAAACATTATGACTGAAGTCAGTTCCCTCTGGCAGATCTTTAAAGAACACGCAGAAAGGAACCAAGTGAGGAAGCAGATTAGCCCAAGGGACTGAAGCATCCCAGGCCAGGGCCAGCAATGAGAGGGTTTTTCCCTCCTGAGCTGTCACTAGCTTCAGAGGATCCATTACAAGGAGCAGCACCAAAGGAGGTCCTTCTTGCAGGCAGATGAGCTGCACTGGGCCAGGACGTGTCGGACGAGTAGAACTGGCAATGACGGTGGGCCAAGAGTATGCAGGCAGGGTGGTAGGGGCAGAAGCCTGCAAGTTAGGAAACCACCCACGCCCACACCCCACAAGAGCATCCATCCTCTACGGCCATCAGCGCCATGTTAGTAAAAATGATAGCCACTGTTATGAAGGGGAAATGCCCACTGTGTGCCAGGCTCTTCCCAAACATGGGTCCAACCAACAGCCCTTGAGGTGACTGGCCCCGATGTTACAGAAGAGGAAACTGAGGCGCAGGGCCACCCCCAAGTAAGGGCAGGGCCAGCGTTCAGCCCACTGGCCTCAAAGCCACCTGCTAGTCTGGCAATCAGGAGCCCACCCTGCTGTGTGCCCATCTCTGCCTTCCTGGTGGTCCTTCTCTTGGGGGAGGCACAGCCTGCTGGTTTCACCGCGTTGAAGACACAGAATGTTCTGGCAAAACCAGAAAGGATCTGAACAGGACACTCCTGACATTTCACCAAACTCTGCTTCTTCCCAGGGCTTTTCAAACTACAGGTTGTCACTTAGAAGTCATGACCAGCACGTTTTAATTAACAGGATATAACAGAATAGAAACCTCTAGAATGAATTTTATTTAAATAAAATAAATTTTTTCGGAACTCTGGTTTCAGGTGTGACTGTGTCCCTACAGGGTCGTGATGTCAGGATTTCAGACTGCATCATCTTTAAGTGCCAATACTCTGTGATCCTAAACATCACAAACTTCATTTGCAAACTATGAACTGACAGCAAGTGTCTCTGAGATCTGCTTTTCGAGCTCCTGAATACAATTTCATGACACATACACCAATGACTTTCCACCTGTTCTGTGTCCAACAGAATGTAATTCCACAACAGATAATTTGACTTATTTTGACCCGTTTTTCCCGTGTTCTTAATAATAGACTTTCTAGTCTTAAAGTTCTCATTTTCTCATCTTCATTTTGAAACTTGAGAGGTTAGAAGGGAGAAAAGGAATATAATAATGTCTCCCCACCCCACCCCCGCTCAACTTTCTTGAGGAATAGCTGAACTCCACACTCTTTTTCTCACACTCACACAGCAAGACAACTGTCACAGCTTACTGCAAAGGACGACCCACTGGCCACACGTCCATACAGAGCTGGGACGGTGTGCGTAAAAGTGTTCTAGAAAATACTCTAGGATACTTCCCCTGATGTGGGCGTTAACTCAGTAAGCGCCCCGGTAAATCCTGAGCAGTACTGAAAATGTAGCTAAGTGAGCTTCTCACGCTGGGACCCCAGGCACAGACCTGTGTGTCCTGCACCAGGTGGCTGACACCTAATGCCCACACTGGAGCTGGGTCCGGGTTGTCCTCCCTCCCAGAACTTCTGGGCTATCTGCTCCGTTCCGCTGGCTTCCGTTGGAGAGTGAACTTTTCTTCCTGTCAAACTGCCTTTGTCAGGCGGCAACTGCCTCCCAGTAAGGAAACTGGCTATCTGGTTTCAGATGTTCTGATTTTTTAAAGGAATTTCTTGGCTCCTTAAGAAGGCCGCCCTCGGGGCGCCTGGGTGGCTGAGTCGGTGAAGCGTCTGCCTTCGGCTTAGGTCATGATCCCGGGGTCCTGGGACCGAGTCCTGGCCCAGGCTCCCTGCTCAGCAACTAGTCTGCTTCTCCCTCGGCCTCTGCCCCTCTCCCCAGCTCATGCTCTCTCTCTCGCTCTCAAATAAATAAATAAAATCTTAAAAAAAAAAAAAAAAAAAAGCCACCCTCCCTCAGTCCTGTGTAGCCCACCTCCCCTCTCAGCCTATGAGGACAAGCCCAACGGAGCTGTGATGGGCTTAATAACTATCAGGTTTTCACTTTCAATTTGTACCTACACCCCATCTTTAGTTACTTTTGCTCGTTGGAAGCATCCAGTTCAAATGATGCAAAAAGCAGTGAGTTTGCTTCATTCGTTGTCATTCTTTAATGAATTGCACTTCATTCAGGAAGTTAGAGATTATCTTTAAGGCCTACCATTTAGTGTAATTCTGATGCTCTCAAGCCTTGGCTGTCATGGGCATTGTGTCATGTTTGTAAGAAGAAAAGCGCATCCATTTCTCTTTGGGTGGAGGAGGTGTGCAACCTCCTGCCCCCCGGGGTTTGCTGTTTGATGTCACTGACCTTGGGGCAAGGGAGGGGATTAGGATGGGCTGGGCAACTGGGGACAGAGAGAGACAAGACAGTTACCAGAGTTAGCAGGGCTGCTGGCTGAGCACTCCCCACTCCATCACTGACCTTGGGGGCTGTTTCCTACAGGGAACAGTGCCTGGGGTCCCAGCGTGAGAAGCTCACTTAGGTACAGAAAGTGTCACGTCACCATCTGTACAGTCAGGCCCTAGGACTAGAGCATATGTGAGTTCCAACCTGGAGGAAGAAGCTAGACTATCTAGTTGATCATCCTTTCTCAAAACAGCGCCAGGACAACTTTTAAACCAGAACTCAAATAAAAATGGACAAAAGTCATGAGCTGAGATGAATTTTAGACAAAAGTAAAATAGTGTTTTTATACCTAAAATCTTCTGCGTAAGACTGACTTATTTGAGAAGTATGAGAGGCAAAGAATGACTTCTATTAGGGTAAGAAAATGCTCTTTTTGTCTTTCTGTTATGACCAAGGTCTAAAACCCCAATCCTAGGATTTACGAAGGAAAGAGATGGGGACTTCAAAGGAGATGTGTATTGTAATAAAATCTGAAAAGCTGAAATTTCTAAACTTTCCCTAAAAATGCCTTACAGGATTTTAAATAAAGTAAACTTAGAGCTCTGAGAAAGGAAAAAAAAGGGGGGGGGGGATGGGAATCTTTTACCAGCAAAAAGACCAGAAAATGTAGGGATTTACGTGATTGCTCTTAGCAAAACTTGGATACTATTAGGAAATGTAAAGGCGAGGCAACATTTTATTGATATTAAGTAACATTTACTCTTTTTTTTTTGGAGATGGTCTTACTCATTTTTTTTTAAAGATTTTATTTATTTATTTGAGACAGAGAGAATGAGAGAGAGAGAGCACATGAGAGGGGGGAGGGTCAGAGGGAGAAGCAGGCTCCCTGCCCAGCAGGGAGCCCGATGCGGGACTCGATCCAGGGACTCCAGGATCAATACCTGAGCCGAAAGCAGTCGCTTAACCAACTGAGCCACCCAGGCGCCCAAGTAACATTTACTCTTAAAACTGTGAATTCTTGGGGCGCCTGGGTGGCTCAGTTGGTTAAGCGACTGCCTTCGGCTCAGGTCATGATCCTGGAGTCCCGGGATCGGGTCCCGCATCAGGCTCCCTGCTCGGCGGGGAGTCTGCTTCTCCCTCTGACCCTCCTCCCTCTCATGCTCTATCTCATTCCCTCTCAAATGAATAAATAAAATCTTTAAAAAAAAAAAAAAAACAACTGTGAGTTCTTGCATGTGCTATTAGTTAACTACCAGCCATGAGCAACCACTGTCCTTCCAAATGGCAGAAAGAGAAAACAGATTTTGAAGTACCATTAGTTGGTAGAACTAGAGAGCCTTCGGCTGGGGTGTATAATATAACTTCTGAAAATATTCTGCTGCGTTTCTGTCCCCACCGGTTGGCAGAGACCAACACTCGGGTCTTCCTCTGGCTTAACCTCTGACCACTTTTACTCCACACTCACCAAATGAGACCTACACACAGTCCCATTACATGAAAATTGAAATGAGCAACTCTGATGGGAACCATATCAGCCAACCCCTAACCCATTAGGGCATTTACTAAAGATAATCTAAGGGGCTTTTCTCCTGCTCACCAGTGCTTCCCTTTAGTTCTCTGCCCCCAGAGTGCCCTCCCACGAACCCATATTTTCTACACCAGAACTTAGGAGGCTTGCTTTCTTCTCCCAGCCGGGTGCGAGAAGACACTTTCCGGGTGTTCCTGGCCTCACTAGGGATGCCTTTTCATTAGAGGGCCAAGAGGAGGAAGAGGAACGGTGTCGAAGCTTCCTCTCCTTAGCACATGTATGAGAAGAAGCTGGGTTACATAGAATATGCCCCTGTTAGCCTGGCAGACCTTCTACCATCACTGCAGACCTAGCCCCTCACCACCACCACCACCACCCACCCAGCCCTCTGAATTTGAGGCGACTGCTCCCAAAGGCAGACTCCTTTTGCTTAGAAGACACAGCGAAACCTTTCCTGGCTACTCCCCGGGCCTGGTCCTGCAGAGGCATTGGTTCTACCTGCTGCCCAAGCCTGGACGCTCGAGGATGTGGACTTGGAGAAACCTGGCGTCGCCCTCCCTGCCACACCAGGTCAGACCCTAGAAGACTCCTTTTCCTTTGGCCAGGGACCTCGCTAACGGCCAGGGGACGGTCCTTTTCCCCCGAGGCTCCTGTCCTACGAGGGGGCTGTCATTGTACCCAGAGGCTCCGGTCTTACCCCGAGCATGAGCCTCGAGCCTCGCGGCGAGTCGGCGGCGCGGCTCTTCCGGACGGATCCGGTTCCGGGCTCTCCCCGCGGGACCAGGGAGGTGCCACGAGCCGGAGAAGGAAACCTTAAAAATACGCCTTCCCTCCCCGGGGCTTAGGTGTCCTCGCGCCCGGAAGCCCAGGGGCCGAGGTCCCCGAGCTGCTGCTCTAGGGCGATCCCCTCCGGATTTCTTCCAGGAAGAAAAACAAAACAAAACGCACCCAGACTCCACGTGGGTCTGCACGACCTCCAGAAGGGCCCCGGCTTCAGAGGCCCGCGAAGGAAGGCGCAGGTTTGGGCTCTAAATCGGGAGGGGAGTCCAGCGCAGCGCGGCACGGAGAACGCCCCGGCCAGCCCGTGCCCCTGGACGGGCCCATCGCCCGGGAGAAATTTCTCTCCCCGTTGCCACGAACGCCAGCGGTGGGGAGGGGAGGGCGCCGTGCTCCACAGCCTCGCCCCCCACACTGGCGCGGGAGGAGGCTGGCCGTGCGTCCGCCGGGGGCTCCCGGGCACTGCTCGGCCACCAGGCAGGCGAGGCCGCCGGGTCCCGGGCTCAGCGCCGGTCGTCCGGTGCAACCCCTTCCCTGCACTTTCTCTTAAAGCGCTTTGGGGAGAAGAGAGGAGGATTAGGCTCCCTCGGCGGTGCAAAAGGCAGCCCTCACAGAAAGAGAAAAATCAGCAAAATCGCCTTAGTAGTTCAACCAAAGGTCAACAGCAGCATTTCCCCAGCAGCTGACAGGTCAAATGGCCAGGAAACAACTGGCGAGAACAAAGCCCCCCGCTGTTCGACAGGGGCGAGCCCCGCTCGCCCGCACTGAGTGAGGTTGTTGTGCTTTTTGGAAAGGGCGGCGGGGAGAGGTTTCCGCCCCTCCTCCCGCCACCACCTCCCTTCCTCTCGGGTGAGCAGGTCCGGAGGGAAAAGGAAAGGAGGGAGGAGGCGAAGGGCGCCTGCAGGGAAAGGAGCGGCTCTTTGAAGGCCTGGGTCTGAAACGCCTCGCGGGTTCGGAGGCCGGGACCGGACGCCGGCGAAAGAATGCGCGGAATGCGGCGGTGGGAGGCAGGGGCGCAGCGCGGCAGGGGCGCCCCTACCCACAGCCCGTCCTGCCCCCCACCCCCTGCCGCCCCGCGCGGGGACCGCCAAGGGCCGCGGCTCCTCCAGGCCGGGCAGGTGCGCCCGGCGCACCGTCCCTCCGGTCACTTAGCACGCGGTCCTTTGGGGGTTTCTGACTTCCAGATTTGACAAGAACTCGCGTCCCCGAAGAGCTGCGCCACGGTTCACTTAAAGCAGGCACGCGCCGCCAACAGAGCGTCGAGAAGCGGGTCTGAACAAAAGGTCGTACGACGTCTCCGCGGCCTGGGTTGAAGGGGCGCCGTCCCATCGCGCGCTCCCCGGATACTCGGTCCTCCCGCCCCCCTGCTCCCGGAGCTGGGGTCTAGCCCGAGGCGGGAGAAGTTGGCCACCTTCCAGGCGGAGCGCGGAGTCGGGCAGCAGGGGACGAGACACAGCTCCACACAATGTGCGCAACCCGAGCTGCCTTCCTGCGTTTACGGAGCCGTTCCCACTTCGGCGCTCACCCTTCACCCTCTTCCCCACCTCTAGGATTCTCGGGACTCGGCGCAGGGCCCGGGCACGCCAAGCCAACAGGCCTGACCTGTCCCCGCCCGCACAGTGGCACTGGGAGCACCCCCCGGGACTATAGGTGGGCAACGCAGTGGAGTCGCTTCGCCTAAGAGGCCCGACGGTCAGTGAGTGTAAATAAACGCAGAAGCTCCGAAGAGTACGGACTTGCAGGTGACAGAGGAAACGCACCCTCACCGTCTCTGAGGACTGCGGGCGCGCTCGCACTTGCACGCAAACGCACAGAAACCTTGCAAACCCCTGCACACCGGCGCGCACAAAGCAGCGCGCGGGGATCCTCGCGGCCACGAAGCCCTCCGGGCACTTCTTCCCCTGCCCACTAAGGCGCAGGCCGCCGAGCCCCGCTACATCTCCCCTCCGGCTCGCGCCCCGGCGCCCGAGTTTACCTTTAAGCAGGCAGATGTCGGTGCGCTCGGCGTTGCGGCGCAGCGCCCGCACTACCAGCGACACGGTGCTGTCTTCGCGGAGGCTCTCGGCGCGCGGGCTGCGCTCGTCGTAGACGATGACCGCCGAGTAGAGACCGGAGCGCAGGCGGGCGCGCACCTCCTCCTCGGCGGGCAGGATCTGCTCCAGGCTCACAGAGCCCTTGGCCCGCCGCCGCACGATGGTGTTGCAGCGCACGTTGACCGAGCCTCGGATGTAGCCCGCGCTGTGCGCCAGGAACGGTCTGCAGTCCAGCAGCAGGCACTTGCCGCCGCTCAGCAGCCCCAGGGTGCCGTGGCCGCCGCTGCCGCCCGCGCCGCCGCCGTTCTCCTCCCGGTTCATCAGCCTTTTGAGCACGCTGCAGTCCATCTCCCGCAGCTCCTCCACCGTCACCATGGTCGCCGGGCACGCGAGGAGGCGAGGCACACCTGGGCCGGCTGGGCTGCAGGAAGGGGCGAGCGGGGGCTAAGGGAAGCGCGTGCAGAAGTGGCCGCAGACTTGGCCCCCACGGCCTCCCGCGGGCGGACCTCTTCTCCCCGGTCCCCTTCCTCCCGCAGTCTCGCCGTTACATAGCAGTCCGAGCGGCCTCGGGCACCCGGCAGCACCGCGCGCGCTGCCGAGGGGGAGGTGGCGGTGGAGGGGAGTGTGTTTACGGGCGAGGAGCACGGGCCCCCTTCTGTTGTGGCCTCTATTGTATCTGGTCCGTTGTGCTGCTCCCGCCGTAGCCGCCACCGGCGCTGCCGTCCCGGCCGCCGCTCCCCACCAGCAGCCGGAGCTCCGCGCACTGCCCCAGCCAGAGTTTCCTCCTCGGCTTATAGACGTATTAATGCTCCTCCGCTCTCCCCCGGGAGGGAGCAGATTCATTACTACCTCCCGAGGCCCCGCCTCTTGCCATTCCGGGCCCCGCGCCCTCCCCGCGCGCCGGCTCCCCGCCCCATCCCGGCTCCCTCCGCCCCCTCCCTTGCGCGTGAATGGAGTGAGGGCCGCTGGCGCCCAGTCATGGGAACGCGACGTCACAAAGAGCGGAGTAAACAGGGCGCTCGGCGCTCGCCGTCAGGCCCATTCATAAAACCGAGACCGAGAGGAAGAGGGAGGCGGCCTCCGACCGGCAGGCGAGCGGCAGCGCCGGGACTTTGTGAATGGAGCGCGGCGGCGGCGGTCGCGCTCGGCGGGCAGTCCCCGGCCTCCGCGGCGCGCGGCCCGCGCGACACTAGTCGCCGTGCAGCCAGTCCACCCCGCCGCGGCGGTGCGGCGTTCGGCGTGCGGAGAGCGGCCAGCCAGGAAGCCGGCCTCACGGAGGCCGGGGCTCGGTTTGGAGGTTTCGTTCCTTTTTGCCTCCGTGCTTCCCCCTTCGCAGCCTCGCAGGGCTCCTCCGGCGCGCCGGAGTGGAGGGGGCCACGTTGCCCCGCTGCCCAGCGGGCACGGCCCGGGCTTACGGAGTGCGTTCCGCCTGGCCGGTCGTTTTCTCGGCGCGACTCCTCAGACGTTAGCTTATGCATTAGCGCGATCGAGTTTCATCTCCCGCCATTAAATCAGCCTTATAGCTTCCCGAAGAACGCGGGCAAGCCCCAACGTACAAGATGAAAGGGAAATGCCCTCCTGCCCCGAAGCCCGGTGATAGCGAGGTGTTGGGTTTGTTGCTTTACGACCCAGAGGGCGGCATTAATTGTCGGAATGTTGTTCCTACGGAGGAAGGCAGGGGTGCCCCTCCCGTCCACGCTTCCTGAAGATCCTCATTGAATCCCGGTTTGGGGGGAAAACCCGACGTTCTGGGCTTTTGGAAAAGTCCTCACCCCATCTGGCATACATGTGAATTGTTTTCTCAGGAAATGACAATTAGGGTCTACAGTGGGGTGCGAAGCTAGACCCTGGGAAACTGACGCGTAAAGGATTTAATAAGTTCTGAGGGCGATTCCATCCCTCTTTCCAGGTCCTGTAGCCTTCTTCCCGCCCCCAGTTTTACTTAGGCATTTAATTTCCCAGAGGCCGCTTTTGGCAGGGGGTATGTGCGCGCCGCGGTGGGGACACGACAGAAGCCAAAAATTATTCGCCCGACATCTTGCCAAATCTTGTTAGTGAGAATTAACCACCGAGGCGGGGGGGGGGGGGTGAGTACTGCAGGACTCGCTCGCGGCCCCGGTAGCAGCGGAGTCGAGTCTTCCATTCCGGGTCCCTCCTGGAAACACGACCCCGGCAGCGAAGGCCGCGGAACCCGCGGGGGCCTTCCCGCCCCCAACTCGGCCTTCCGCTCGGCCTTTGTTGCTGGCAGAGCGGCTCCCTGGAGCTCTCACCTCCGGGCCCCCAGGGCCCCCTCCACTCCCCTACCGGGTCTCGGGAGGGGACCTCCACTTCCGAGGCCTACCACCCGCGCTCCCCTCCCGCTGCGCCGCGAATCCCCCTTTGCCCGGGTCGAGTAGGGGGATCTTCCTTTTCCCTCGGACTGCAAAATGGGTCGGCTCGGCTCGGCACCGCGAGGATCCTGTCTCTATTTAGAATTTAATATTTTGTTCATGGATTTTTTTTTTTTTTTTGCAATTGGTTAATTTTCATTGTCTTTAAAAAGCGCTGCATTTTTGAACACTGACTTTTTACGAAATTTTACGCCAGGGGCACGCCGATCAGGCCCTGGAAGGGGCCACAGCTGCGCACCGACCGAGGTCCCCGGGGGGCGGCCCTGGGGCGCCAGGCACTCGGGGTGGGGGGTCAGCAGTCTAAGGCTCGCTGCGTGGCCTCTCCCGTGGGGAGGGGTGTGTACTTCCTCCCGGGGGCAAGGGGGCCTCTGTCCCGGTTTCTCATTTGCTGAGCCGGCTGCAAGGCTCTGAAGACTCGCTCTCGCTGGTACACCAGGAGTGTGCGCCCTCTCCAGGGAGCCCCCCAGGCCCGGCCGTCCCGGGCCCCGTTCCTCTCCCGGGGCCCAGGAACCGGGCCCTGCCAGGCCCGCCGGCTGAGAAATCTCCCGGCCTCAGGAAACGCCGGCGCCTTTACCAGGGCTTGGACAAGATTTCTCTTGGAGAAGCCTCTCGGTCGGAGGCAGGTCTGGGCTAATTTCGCAAGTGTCGCTGGAGCTGGGGAGCCGTCCCTGGGCCCCACCCGCCGCGACCGCGCTCCGCTAGCCTTTGTTTCCCCCGCCCGGCGCTCACGTGGCCGGTAAATAACCATCAAAGGTGGGGGGGGGGGTAGGAAAATGCCCAAGGACAAAGGCTTGCTTTCTGCACCTGACAGTAATCCGTGGTGGCGAAGCCCATAAATCCCGCAGGCGATTCACAAGGAAGGTGGTGTGGGCGGGCGCGTGTGCGTGTGTGTGTGTGTCCACGTGTGTCTTGCGCGCCCGCACCCCGGAGGGGAGCCGCGGCTTCGGACTTAATGTGTTTAAGCCAAGAGCAGCTGTAATTACGAATGCGAACCCCTGATTTTTGAGAGACTAATAAAAAAAAAATCCTCTCCTCAATTCGGGAATTAGCCTTCAGTTGTGTGAATTTCAACAAATGAAACTTAAATTTTGTATTTATCCGATCCTCTGTAAGCACCCTAAATAATTTTTTTTTTTTAATGTTTAATGTTTGGTATTGTTAGGTGTGCGGGCCATTTGGGACACGGCTTAATGATACTGGCTGTAGAGATGTTAAAACTTGTCTCCAATTAGTGTGCAGGCTGGGGGTGGGAAACGATCAGTTTACACAGGAACCTTGTGAAACAGCTGGTCTATAAGGTAGATCTTGGAGAAAACAAAGGCGTTTGGTAGGAAGACATCGTTTGAATGTCATCTCAAAGTTAATTTAATTAAGGAAGGCATATATGCAGGAGTTGGGGTGGGATTGCCCAAGGAGAGATATTTTATTTATACTCAGCAGTAAACCTCGGGGTGAAAATACTTTAAAAATTCACTGTGACATGTAAATCCAACTTTTCTTTCATCAGGCAGTCCTTAGACCGACCTTATTAGTCACTGGCAGGCCTGGCAAAACCCCTGCTCTTGTTTAAGAACATTTCTTTCCAATTAGGATGTTGTGTGATCTGGGAATTTAAAGCCCAGAGTCAGATCCCCAGAGAGGACTACGGCTTCTATTCTGTCTTCGATGCCAACCTCTGACTCACTGCCCTGTCCCAAAGTGCCTGAATAAAACTTGCCTGAAAGCCCATTAATGAAAGGGTCTGTGGATTTCTCTTTCCTGAGGGGAGAAGGCACCTTGTTCCTTACTCTCACCTGGAACTGGAATGATCTGCTTTGCATGGGCCCATTGGCTGGGCTTCCTAGATCAGCTGACTGGGGAGCTTCCCCTCTGGCAGTGGGAATGCTCAAAAGGACTGGGAAGCTGTCTCATGCTCCTGAAAGCAGAAAAGTGTATGTCCCCTGTGTTCTCTTAGGCAACATGTACAAATGGAATTGAGGAATGCCTGTCCTTCCCTGCCCACCTCCGCCCATCAAGTCAGAACTCAGAAACAGTGGTTCTTCAACATTTAGACTGAACATCAAGCAATGTCAAAAACATAGCCTCAAGTTTTAGTCCTGACTTTGTCACATGTACTCTCTATGCATAATACTATAGCACTTGCTAATCATTTAAAATGCTAGGTTTCAAAATAAAATAAAATGCTCGGTTTCTAACCTTAGGGTCTCTAGAAAGGTTTTAATACATTGCTTGGTTCACTACTTTATTTGAAAACTATCGGATCTAGGCTATGCCACTATCTAGCTTTGTGATCTTGGGCAAGACAGTCTCCCCGGGTCTCAGTTTCTTCATCTGCAGATGAGGAGTTGGGCCAAGGCAGTTTTTAGGGTCTAGTCCCTTTCGCACCCTGTGTGAATCTGAGCAGAAGAGCTCCCTGTCAACCCCAAGCCCAAACTTGCGCAGGCATTTCCTTTCCCTCCCCAAAGCCAGGCACACTAAAATGTCCGAGACAAATCCACAAGACAAAGAACAGGCTCTAGCTCCAATCTGTCCCTCTTTGGCTCCTGGAGAGCAAAGTTGGTAGTTTTTATTTGTATGTTTTGTGCTAATGTCCCAAGCAGCATGATAAAACTTCAGCTGTTCCAAATCAAATTTTGGGAACAAATACTTCTCCAAATAGGAGATAAAAATGGGCTTGGCATTTGGGGGGGGGGGGGGGCGGTCACCGTAGCTGTGAATATTGCTTTGTTCATTTATTCAACAAACACACTAAACTCTGAGGGAGGGGGGGAACAAATTTGTCCCAAACACTGACTGTGTCTTCAGAGAGTTTATAATGTAGTTGGGCTAGAGTCAGGGTGGGAATGTCACTGTATATTACCATAGGGCAGGATCTAATAAATATCATTAGGGAAGAACAAACAAAATGCCAGGGGGATTCAGAGGAGAAAGGGATTGGACTCTGCTGTGGGATTAGGGAAATGCACGAAAAAGGCCAATGCGAATAAAATGCATTTCATCTACTTAAATGTTATCCTTGGCCTCTCTTTTAGGTCCTTTTTCTTTTTTAACGTCTATCCCACCTCTGACATTGGTTCTGTCCTTGTGCCTTATATCTTTTCCTTTCATTTGTTAACCTCTCTCTTCCCCAGTGGTTTTGCCTGCTAAAAATAGATGAGCGATTGGTCTGAAGCTATCAGAGAGCCAGGATGATGCAAAAGCTCGCTAGAAAATCTATGCCGTGGATGATGAGCCAACCTAGATACCGGATGACCTAGGGGTGGGCCCAACTCCAGCTAGTGACAGTGGTATCTCAAACAAGTCCGTTGTTCTAGATCTTAATTTTACCATCTGTAAAACCCGGAAAAATAACATAATTATTTACTTGTTTTAGGACAAAAAAAAAAAAATGCCTAAATCACCTTTCTAAGGATCCAGCCTTGGTGAACATATTTTCCAAACCAAACGTTCAAGTACAAGTTCAAGTACAC